TCCTAGCCTGTCCCCATTCTTAAGTGTCAGCTCCCAATATCCAGAAACACATTTTACCTGGAACTCTCAGTGGCCACAACTCTCAGGTCCAAAGAAAATTTACCACCAGGCAACACACAGTCATCAAACTCTCTAAGAATCTAGAGAGAAAACAGAAACCAAGGAACAAAACAACCATCCGACAAAGACAAATCTAGAAACCAGCACTTAGACTTATTGTCATTTCAATCCCAGATGCCTAGAGGCCAGTATAAAAACAACAATAGTAACCAGGGCAGTATAATCTCCATATAGTTCAACTATCCTACCACAGCAGGCCAAATTCCAACAAAGTGAAGCACAAGAAACTAACTAACTAAAACTGCCTGTATGAAAGGGAAACAAAGAAATCCAGGAAAACACAAACAAACAGTGAAAGGAAATGAATATAACTATTTAAGACCTGAAAGTGGAAATCAAATCAATAAAGAAACCCAAAATGAGGCAATTCTGGAAATGAAAAATTTAGGAATTCAAACAGGGACTACAGAGGCAAGTTTCACCAACAAAATACAAGAGCTAGAAGAGAGAATCTCAGGTGTTGAAGGTATGACAGAAGAAATGGATATATTGGTCAAAGAAAATGTTAAATATAAAAAAAACTCCTGACACAAAACACCCAGGAAATCTGGGACACTATGAAAACACCAAACCTAAGAATAATAGGCATCAAAAAAGGAGAAGAATCTCAGCTCAAAGGCCCCAAAAATATTTTCAGCAAAATCATAGAAGAAAATTTTCCTAAAGAGGAGATTCCTATAAAGGTCTAAGAAGCATACAGAACCCAAATAGACTGGAACAGAAAAGGAAGTTCCCTTGGCACATAATTATCAAAACACTAAATGTACAGAACAAAGAAAGAGTATTAAAAGCTGCAAGAGAAAAAGACCAAGAAACAAATAAGAGCAGACTTATCAGAATAACACCAGACTACTCAATGGAGACCCTTAAATCCAGAAGGGCTTGGAGAGATTGCTGCAGGCTCTAAGAGACCACAGATGCCAGGCCAGACTACTATATTCCGCAAAACTTTCAATCACAATAGATGGAGAAAATAAGATATTTCATGACAAAGGGAGACCCACAGCCAGACACTAATGGGAGACATATAGGGGATAATAGGTTTAGATGGGGGAGGCGGGGAAGGACTGGAAAGAGTAGAGGGAGGGCAACTCATAATCAGGATATATTGTGTAAGAAAAAAGAATATTTCCAATAAAAGGAAAAAAGGAGTTTGGAGGGCTAGAGAGATATAGCTCAGTAGGTACCTGATTGTTGCAAGCATGAGGTCCTGGTTAAAATTCTCAGAACCCATAGGAAAGCTGAGTATGGGAGTGTTGCATGTAAGCCCAGTGCTGCTCCAGAGACAGGAAGATCCCAGGGCCTTCCTATGCAGCCAGTTTAGCCAGAAAACACACTTGAAGTTCAATGAGAGACTGTCTCCAAAATGTGGGAAGATGGGAAGTGATTGGGGAAAGACATCCCAGTGTTAACTTCTGGCTTCTACATATCGATACAGACAAGCACACATGCATACACACACACACACACACACACACACACACACATGCACGCACACACAAAGACACACACGCACGCACACACACAAAGATACACACACACACGATTACCAAATGTAGTTGGGACATCATACCTACTACAGGGGTCCATTTATTCAACTAACTTTGATAAAACATTATTGATAATAACACACATTAGTATTGAACATATGCAGACATTTTCATGTGTGCATGGTGTATGCATATGTGTATGGTGGCTTCACACGTTTGAATGTGCACTCATCAAGACCAGAGGAGACTGTCAGGTGTCTTGCTCTATTATTGTCCACAGATCCCTTAGAGACAAGGCCTCTTTCTGAATCTAGAGCTAGGCTAGAGGCCAGAAAGCCCCAGAAGTTCTCCTGTCTCTACTTTGTGCTCCCTCCACACACTATAGCGCTAGTGTTGCAGACATGACCACACACAGCTTTCTGGTGATTTCAACCTGGTTTCTTAAATTTGAGCATTAGTGCTCTTACCCATTGAACCATCTCTCCATTCCCCAGATTTTTTTTTGTTACTCCCTAAATGATATAAATATTTATAAAGTATTAGGTGTATTGTATTGCAAATGGATTTCCGTGGGCATGATGGTGTTGTGTGACACTGTTCCTATATGTATCTGAGCAAACGTGTACCACACCAGATAGGAAATCAATGACAGACCAAATTAAGGATACCACCAAAGTCCAACTTGGTGAAGCAATGAGATTTATTGGGGTTACTTCAAGGTACAGAAATGATTCAAAGACAGCTACATCACCAAACCCCCCCCATCATGGGTGAAAGCTCACAATAGCTGAAAAATCTGGAGCTCACTGCATGACTTGCAGGCAGCTGGATGGGTTGGAAAGTGTCCCTTCCAGGTAGCTTGGCTGGTCTTTGCCTCTGCCAGACAGCTTAGCTCACCTGAAAGTGATTCTTGGTGGCTTCTATTGCTTATATATACTTGGTGGAGGGCAATAGTTTTTAATCTATTTAGTTTCAGGAACTTCCTGAAACTTTTGAGTTGCTTGCTTTCTGAGCATACTTGAATAGGCCTCTTCTCTGTGGGATGGAGGGCACCATCTTCTTTTAGCACATCCTAAGGAGCTTCCCTCCAACTTGAGGAGATTGCTACAGAACAAATGGTTCAGAGACAAGGCTTCTAAAGAAGTAACTCATGTTAAATGAGGCCATTGATGTGTGCCTGACCGAATATAACTAGGGAGAAAGGTATCTGGACATTGGTGGGTACAAAGGAAAGAAGGCAAGGACTCATCAAGGTGATAGCCATAGGAAAGTCAGGAGGAGAGGCCTCTGGGGAAACCACATCTGCCAGCGCCTTGACCTTATCCACTAGTCTCTAGAACTTTGAGAGAAGTAATCTCTGTTGATCAAGCCATTTGGTCCAAAGTCTTTTGATATAGGAGGTTAGCAGACTAGTAGAGCATTCTACTAGAGCATTCTACACACTGCCTCAAATGCTATGGTATTCCAAACAGTAGGTAAGGTTTAGTTTATATCTGGAAACCTAGACAGCTCAGTGGCCCTAGTGCTGAGGGAGAAGACAGTGGCAAAGATGTTGACTTTAACGGTAGTTGTTTCATAAAATAAAAATGAGAAATCAATCTTTCTAACCCTCACATAGTTCATGGTTGGCCTCCAATATGCTATAAAGCTAAGGCCAGCTTTGAACTCTAGGTCCTCCCACTTCTACTTTCCAAGTGTTGAGATTACAGGAATGTCAAATCATGCTTGGCAAAACAGTCATTTTGATATGATATCAATGATAATTAATGGTGTAATTTATGTCCTTATAAGTTTACTACTTGAGTTTGCAAAAAGCTTTTGGTGACCTTTTATTGGGGTAAATGAAAGATTATCTTCTAAGTAAGGCTTTGCAAACAGTTCTTTTTAACATCAGAATAAAATATAGCCGTGCATATATTTAGTGTTGATCCGTCCAGGTAACTTTGAAATGATGGGAGATAAAAGGACATATATGAAGAGAAGTTTCCTAACACAGAGGACAGTGTGTCTCTTAGACAACCTCCATATTTATTAATATGTTCCACAATGTTAAATTATAACTTACGTCTCACTAAACTCTGAACACAACCACAGTTAAAGGGCTGTAACTAAGGTAAATTGGCTTAGTGGCTGCTGGGATGACTAGATACCTCTATGAGTGAAAGATGTGGCCCAGAGAAAAGGCCATACTGTTAAATGCTGTTTGGGCAAATTTGGTTGCAGTTGTTATATGTCTTCTAGATAAACAACATGAATGCTTATTTTTTAAATATTATTTAAAAATAATACATCAAGTTATAATTCATGACTGGCATCAGTTGTCACTGGGTCACCTTATCTGGTCACTTGTATACTCAGTCTAGATGACCTAAACAGTGCTGGATCTCACTGGGTAAAATGCAGATGCCTGTCTGTTTTGCTTTTTCATGTTATTCTCTCTCTCTCTCTCTCTCTCTCTCTCTCCAGGGTTTCTCTGTAACTTTGGAGGCTATTATGAAACTTGCTGGCTGGCCTTGAACTCACAGAGATCCGCCTGCCTCTGCCTCCTGAGTGCTGAGATTAAAGGTGTGCAACACCACCTCCGGGCTTTTATGTTATTTTCTCTTAAGAAATTGTGTGCTTATCATTTTCATGAGCTATAAGCACCCCCAAGTTTCCTAGAAATGCTGATTATTTGGAAGAAATTAATACTTCTTCAAGCTCCTCGGGGATAATATCATGCTACTGAGAAAAGATTTCAGTCTGAAGAAATACGTGCTCCATGTAGAGAGGTACAAAACAGTGACTAGAAAGCAGGGAAAGAACATGCTTCTCTACTAACCTCCGCAAAACAGACAGAATGCATCACGTATCCCTGCCTTCAGTGTTTCTCTACCAGAGAAGAGTCAGAAGTCTAAAGAGCATTTCCTATAATGGGAGATACCCACAACTTGTTAAAGAGATCCTGTGGGCTTCACTGCCTTTCATTAACTATGGGGGAATACAGAGCAGGTGCATAGACAGACTGAAGCATGACCTTTCATCAGAATGGGTTTATGTGAAGGTGGGCTGCATGCAAGTGAGTTTTATTCAGGTACTCCCCAGTTCTACCCAGTCTAAGCACACAGTGCCACCCATGATGGAAGCCCTCCGTGTGACCAGCATCCAGAACCCCAACACTGAATCGCAGCATGTCCATATGTGATCTCTGTGCTCTTCCTGGGATCTAGGGACAACTAATATCAGTTTCTACCATGACAAATTCCTGCAATGCCTCGTATAATGTTGTGTATACAATTGATGCTTAACACATGCAAAAACGGTGTCTGTTAGTGCAGCATTGGACAGCTAAAGAAAGGACAGTGAAAACCCAGGTGGGCACTGGGGTGGTTTTCAACCATGCTTTGTCATTTTACAACAGTTTCTGTGGTGTATAGAAATCATGAAGAGGGTAAGAGGTACAGAATTCTAAGAGAAAATTGACCAGTATATCAGATTGAATAAGATGTAAGCAGCTGGGAAAATGATCCTGGAGTACTTATCAATGGCATGGGTGTTGATCCTCATGCTCACATAGCTGCCTCTCTGGCTTTTCCTCTCTGAGGCCAGGGTCAGCTGCACCATCATCCTGTCGGGCTTCTCTCCATTCTCGGGCATGTAGCCACTCAGGTCATTCACTTCCCCGTCACTGTAGCTGCCATCCAGCATCACTCCTCGCGGCTGGGGCAGTCCGCAGGTGCAAGAGATCTGCAAACACACAGGGCTGTGTGAGCTGAGCACTGTCCCTCAGATGCCTGAGAAAGCACTGTGCCTCTTTTAGTCTCAGTTTGGGGGGAAGATAAAAGAAAAAATGATGATGGTGGTCACTGTGAGCATCCTAAGACAGCTGTGAGCCAGGCACTGTATCAGAGAGCTTACCAATAGCTTCAAGAGGGTTGACGCATCAGCATGGTGCTGAGAATGGGGTCATGAACAAACATCTATGCATTAACTTGTAGGAAAGAGCATGACACTGCACCAGAGGCCAACAAAACCAACACTGGCTTGCCCTGTCCTCCATGAAGTTGTAATCCCTGAGCTCATACCATGTCCCCTTTGGGGACAGTGGGGACAAACTCAGGGCCTTGTATATGTTAGACAAGGGTACTGTACTGAGCTACACCCTTTTTCATTTTTCATTTGAGACAGTCTTGCTAAGTTGCCCAGGCTGGCCTCCAACTTGTGACTCTCCTCCCGAGTAACTGGATTATAGGTTGGTGACATCACACCTGCACCAAATCTTCATAAAAATGTTTATAGATGATGTTATTTGGTTGGGATTGAAAGATGGCACTTTGGGAGTATATGGTAAGGCATTGATAGGAGAGAGGGCCTCTAAGTTGTGGGCTGGGAAGGAAAAGGAAGGGCAGGAGGAAAGATGACAAGAAATGATGGGAGATATGAGGTCATATAAGAAGGAAAGTTTCTTAGGATACAGGATGGTTGCTCCTGGAGGGACGTTTTAAACCACTCCATATTTGTTAACAGTATGTCCCACAGTGTTAAATTATCATTAATGTACCTCCTGGAATTCTCTCACTAAAATGAACACAACCACAATTAAATGGACCATGCCTTAATTTGGTTTAGTAGCTGCTGGCATGCACACACTGAATGGATGCCTTTATTGAACGCAAGATGTAAATGTCAAATATTAATGGCCATGGCTGGGAGTAAGCTGAGATGAGGAGAACATCACAGCCTCATTTTAAAATCTTCCCCCATTCCAGCGGTAGCCCAGTCTATGTCATGGTAAAGTCACCTTCTCCCGGAGCTTCCGTTCCTTCCGCTCCTGCACTGTGGTCAGGTAGTTGACGGCTGCGTACTCCAGCACTGAGAGGAACACGAACACAAAGCTGACCCAGAGGTAGATGTCCACGGCTTTGATGTAGGACACTCGGGGCATGGAGGCGTTCACACCCGTGATGATGGTGGACATGGTCAGCACCGTGGTGATGCCTGCCATGAACAGTGAGAAATAAGCACATGCTTGCTTTTGCCAGACACTGTAGACCTTCTTCCTCGGTGGCTCTGCCTTTTGTTCTGCCTTGGCTTGGATGGCAGTGCCTGCTCCCTTCTGGTGAGTACCCTCCTGTCTTCGAGAGCTAGCTATCACAAGTCTCTACCTGCTCCTCTGCCCCTTGTCCCTCCATACGCTGACATATCCATTACAGCACCAATCACATCCTCTCTGCAGAACATCCCAGACACTTTGGCATGAAGGAATTTCCTTCCACTGATTCAAGAAAGGAGATATAGATATAAGCAATCATGTGGTGAAGGAAGGCATAGGGTTTATTTCAACACCATGTCCTTGATGTCATAAACATTCTATAATCCTGGGCCTGTCTCTTCAGCTGACGGCCACCCCATACTGGACCTGTGTGCCCCTCCAGCAGGACTACCCTAAGCTTCTTGACATACATTTCACCAGGGTTGTTTTATTTATAGGAGACAGATGTTATGAGAGCCCACAGGCACCCAACACAGTAGCTGTTGGAATGACAACTAACTGCTGCAGAAAAGGGCATTGTCTGTGGAAATTGCCCACGACTGCAAATTAAGCTCAGAACATTTGCTTGGAAAACATTAAGTCACAGAGGACTGGCCTAAGGGCCAGCTCAAACCATTTCACCGAAGCCTGATGGGTCACCGTGTCACTTGGAACCTGTGCTGTCTGAGCTGTAGCAGTGGCTGTGACTAAGTGGGCTCAGTGTCTAAGATGAGAACATTTAATGGAGTACTGAGAAAGGGAGAACGTGTATGAAAACTCGGAATTCTGGCTGAAGATACCATGGGACCCAAGTCTTTTCATTTTTAATAATTCCCTTGAGAAACATTGATACAGAATACATTCTACAGACCAGCAGGGAAAGCACCCAAAGACCAGGGGCCCCCTGCCCCTGCTGCTTGGAGGGACAGCCACAGGGGTCTGGACAGATTTCCATATGGCACTTAGATTGTGTGGTGCTACTTGAATCCATGTCTTGAAGCATTTCCAAGTCATGCTATAAAGAAGAGTACAGGGCCCGCTTGAGAAGCCTGAAAGGAACGCCTTGGATTTTCAGACGTGTAATACAGGCATGAAACAGTCCTTACCTAAGGGGACTCTGGCAGGCACAGCTCTGCGGTCAATCCAGAAGGACACCCAGGACAGCATGACCATGAGGGTGGCAGGGAAGTAGGTTTGGAGCAAGAAGAAGAAGATATGACGACGTAAAGTGAAGTTGATGTATAGACGGTTGTACCAGCCTGGGGACACAGAAGGAAGACAGAGCATGCCACATAGCTGCGTGGCTCCTTTGGGAAACATATTTGTAGAATCGTAATTGTCTTAGGCCTCCACTGAAACCATACCTCAGTGGCAGTGACATGTGGTAACCCTCACCACCTATGTGAACCCACTGTAAGGAATCTCTGTCCCCTTCACAAACACAAAGGGAACCCCTTGAGAGGGTCATTTAAAGTCTTGTTTCCCAAAATATGGCCCAAGGCCCATCAGCCTCATGGTCACATGGAAGCTTCTTAGAATTTCAGGCATTTTCAGGACTTAGAAAGTTCAGAACTTTCGGAAGACTGAGACCTAAACAACCAAGCTCAAGTGTGAGAGAGGCATCATTTGAGTTGGGCTAGCACACTAAATTGGGTATCAGTGCTCTCTAATGGATCAGGATGAGCTTACAAGGTGAAGGGCCAGCAAGAGAAACTGCAGAACCTTCTGAGAAGCAAGGATGGAGAGTGTTAACCCTTAGCTGTCTACCGGTACAAGCCAGCAGCTGGGGAAGGCCACAGAGCACAGCCTCAGGCAATAGGAGGTGAAGAGGCCATTACAGACCTTTAACTTATGTAGTCACAGCCTGATCCACATGTTGACCATGGGGTATGGATAGTAGTGGTGTACCCTGGGAGACAGAGAACAGCAGTCTGAATTGAAACTTGTTTCTTGTTATTGAGGAGAGACTCTGATGAGTATTTCAGGGATACATTGCCAACTTAACAAGGCAATCATCTCAAATAGACCCACTCACATGGCTTCCCTTGGAGCCTTGACTAATATTTCCTAGGGTATTATCTCCGATACATTAGTGGCTCAAAAATTACCTACAAGCCAGCTGGTAGTGGCACACGCCTTTAATCCCAGCATTTAGGGGGCAGAGACAGATGGACCTCTGTGAGTTTGAGGCCAGCCTGGTCTACAGAGCTAGTTCCAGGACAGGTTCCAAAGCTACAGAGAAACCCTGTCTCAAAAAAGAAAGAAACAAACAAACAAAAAACTACCTTTAAAGCTAATTGCCTTGGAGCACACCTATAACCTCAGCACTGGTGATACTGAGCCAGAGGCGTGACTTGGATACATAGCATATGAGTTTAGCAACTGGGATGCATAGTATATAATAAGTTCAACAGTCTGGATGCATAGTGTATAATGAGTTCACCAGCTTAGATACATAACGTATAATAATGAGTTCACAAGCCTGGCTACATAGTGTATAATAATGAGCTCACAAGCCTGGCTACATAGTGTATAATGAGTTGAGTGAGGGTAGCATGGACAATGGAGTGAGACCCTGTCTCAAAGGAGAACCACTCACTAGACTTCATTTAGGACTCTGGCCTTTTGTTTCTAAGATCTGTGCACTTGATGTGACAACCAAATCACATGCTTTCTTAACAGAGCCTGAACCATCTGGCCAAGACAATGCCTCCCCGGCACTCACCGCATGTTCTGGGCTCACCTGTACTGCTGTAGAAGGCTAGTTTCGTGGTGGTATGAAATTCCTGAATGAGGAACTGAGAGAGAGAGATCCTCTCATCTGTCTTTAAGGAGTCGTTGCCTTTTTTCCAGTATAGCATGAGGTCATCTTCTGTGTAGGCATCTGGGAAGAAGGGAGCCATGGTCAGGCAGAGGGCGACAGAAAAGCCAGGGCCATCTGCGGGGCCCTGTGACACTGTGTCCTAAGCCACATAGACTACTTGGCTTGGGGTAAGATAGCAAACTGCAATCTAAGCAATACAGACAGACAACTCCAGTTTATCCTAGTTTCTCAAAAGTTATCAGAGCAAGGCTTCTGAGTTAAAGGGCTCATGGTCCCAACAAAAAGCCTGACCCTAAATCCAGCTGCAATAACTGTAAATGATAGTGCTGCTTGTGGGATGGAGACAGTTAGATGCTGGCAAGATTTCATATGGTTCCACTGTGGCCTGGGACCCAATGGGCTCTTTCTTTTCTTGCACTGGGTTCATCACTTGAGGGCTAGGTCATGACCCACTCTCAGGCAGCTCAAGTGAAAAGGGGGTTTATCCTCAGGCCAGTTGTGTTCATTTCCTCAAAATCTGGCAGACATAACCATGGTCTCACCCACTCGGGGCTTCCATGTGCCAGCACATGGCATTCAGGTGAGGCCACTGGGCCCAACCACACAAGCACATTTGCTGCTGAACATAACTGAGGTGAAACCTCTTGGAGCAGCAGGTCGTATCTGCCTATGTGTGAGCTATTCTTCAAGGCCGGCTAAGCCTTGGCTGTGTGACAGGAGACCTCACGTGTCAACTGGCTAGGTCTGGTACACATGTATTGAACCAGACACTAACCCATGAAGTGACTAGCATTTCAGTGAGCAGGCTTTGGGTAAAGGAGATTCTCCCAGGTCACCCTGGAGAGTCTGATGCCAGGAGTGAAAGGCAGGAGGGTAAGAGCAGAGTTCTTGGGAGACTGTCACCTGCCACCGGGAGAAGTGTTTAGAAGCGTTGGCTGCACCTACTCACAGCTTTCAATTTCCAGGGAGCAGGTCTGCGTGTCCAGGGGAAACCTGCTGAAGTCCATGTTGCACATCGCTGTCACTGTAACTCTAGAAACAAAAAGACACAACACAGCGTTTCAGCACCTGCTGGGGACAGATGAGAAATGATGAAGCAGACAGAAAAGGCCCTGCTTCCTGGCTCCAGTTCCTAAGGAGCGTGCTGACATGCTTTCAGAGTTCTCTCTAGTATTTATGTTTAACATTAGATGTGCAAGGCAAATGAAGACCTCTGCTAACACCAGCACATTCCGAGGATCTGGAGATATAATGCTGCCAGTTAGTATAGCAATGTAAAACACACACACACACACACACACACACACACACACACATACACTTTTAATTTATTTAAATGGTTGTTGAAAGAAATAAGTATTCCCCAAATAGAAGTGTCCAGATATTTACTTCACTAATAACTAGTCAAAGTTCACTGCTTGTTAATGATATTAGCAAACTTCATGGTTTGCTCTGCTCCTGCGGTTGATGTCATCTACTGTTCTGTGAGGTAGAACACTGTGGAGCAGTGGACCCATGCCTGACACTGGTCAGAGGTGGAGAGCCTGAGACCAGAGAGGCCACAGGCCCAGGGGAAAACTTACTATTATGCTAAAGGAACACAACAATAAAATGACAGCTGAGGACATTCTGCCATGCACGTAGATCAGGGCCTCAGTCCTCACTGGAGAAGCTGGCAGTGATAGGGGTTGACAGAGTCCCACAAGCAATGCACAGAGAGGGGCAGACTTTGAAGCACTCATCCCTAAAAGGAATTTGTGCTAATGTATTATTTATGATTTAATAAAGCTTGCTTGAAGGATCAGAATACAAAGCTAGCCAAAGACATAGAAGCTGGATGGTGGTGGTGGCACACACCTTTAATCCTGGGACTCAGGAGACAGAGGCAGATGGATCTCTGTGAGTTCAAGGCCACCCAGAGCTACATGAGAGGGAATCAGTCTAAAAGAGAAACAGAGCTCATGGCTTCAATCACAGCACTAGAGCGGTATATATAAGGAAGAAGCAAAGGATCTCATGTGAGACTCAGTTTCCAGTCACAGGGAAGACAGGATCAGCTTGAACCCCAATATCTGTCTCAGGGTTTCTATTATTTGTGCTACAGCAATGTCTTTATCAAACACCCCCACCTCCCCACCTCCTACTCCATTCCCGCCCCCCCCCCCCGCACTCAAGGCTCCTCATGTATCTTTGCAGAAGAGACTATAAGAGGCAGAGTTATGGGTGACTCCAAGGAAATAGTATTTTCTAGACATAATAGAGCAGATCCACGTATAAATTCACAGAGACCATGACAGCACACGTAAGTTTAAACCAGACAAAACCCCATCACTGAGAGGGAAGAGGGCAGAATGGCCTACCCTTAACCAAGGAGCTGATACCTGCTAGGAAACTCACAACTGATGTCTGCTAGGAAAGGGAAAATCAGTTTTCTCCAATGGAGTGTCACTGAATATGTCACCACACTTCAGGGCAGGCCCCTTACCCAGGAGTAGTTGGCCAACACAAAACAGACCTTCTGTATTTTTGTGTGCTTTTTGTTTCGTTTTGGTAGTTTCTGTCTTATTGAATTTTGTTTTTATTTTATGGCTATTGTTTTGTTTATAGAGAGAAAGAACATGAAGTTGGATGGGTCGGGAGGTGGGGAAGATCTAAGAGGAGATGGGGCAGGGAAAGAATATGACCAAAATATATTGTATGGAAAAATGTTTTTTATAAAAAAAATAAAAACAAATAAGCAGGGGCTGGAGAGATGGCTCAGTGGTTTAGAGCACTGATTGCTCTTCCCAGTTCAATTCCTAGCATCCACATGGCAGCCCACAGCTGTCTTTAACTCCAGGACACCCTCACCCAGACATACATGCAGGCAAAACATCAATGCACATAAAAAATAAAATATAAAAATCCAAGTATACAAAGAGTAAAACATTTAATGTGTGTGTTTAAAGCCATTGCTTTGAGAACAATATTCAGGAATTTCTCATCCAGTATTTGAGAGCTGCACCCACATTGGCAAGTAGAGTATGCATACCTTGGACAAGAGGTTTATTCCTTCTCACTTCTTACTTAATAACATTAATAAAAGCATCAGTCTACACTAATTTGTCATCTAAACATGCAAAGCAGATTCTTGTTATGTTTACTGGGGTCTCATTTTGCAGAACTTTTGTTGATGGAAGAATTATAAAAACTGGGAAATGGTTTCACATAAAATAGGAAATCAGTGTTTGTGTTAAAAATACATGGAAGTTACAAGAGTACCATGTGTTCTATTTCACTTGTAGATGATACACTTCTGTCTTAGTTCTGTTTCCCATTGCTGTGGCAAAATACCTTGACAAAAACAGCTTAGGGCTAAGGGTTTAGTTTACTTGGCTCTCGGACCTAGGTTGTCTCCAGCCCTGTGCAGAAATCAAGGGCAGGAACGTGAAGCTGCTCGTCACAGCAACCCACAGTCAGGAGCAGAGAGCAATGAACAAATGATGTACCTTAGTGCAGATAATTCTCTTTTTATTCAGTTCAGGACCCTAATCTCTGGGAAAGGTGCTGCCCACAGTGGTGTGTCTTCCCGTATCAGTGAACATTAATTATCTAAATAATTATCTTAATTAGATAAGCCCACACACCCCAGCCTGATCCAGACAAGTCCTCACTGAGGCTCCCATCCCAATGATCGTAAATTGTGTCATGTTGATGATTAAAACCATCACAGCATCCTTTATATCAGCAATATTTATAATAACTCATGTGCACACATGCATGCACACACACACACACACACACACACACACACACACACACATCCTGACAAGCAGTTGATAAACATTTACTGGTACGCCAGTGGTTATAGGTGTGATGGTCTGGTTCTCTGAAATTCTCTAGGACTGTAGGGCTGTATAGGTTTGTTGGAGAATTTTATCTTGAAATGAGGTGTCTTAAGATGCTCAGAAATGAGGATTCCAGAGAGAACCAGGCTGATATTGCTAGAGAAGGAAATGATGATCCATGAGATCCCCAGGGACATCCTACAGGAGATGTACTTCCAATCAAGGGAATGAAAATCCCGTGCCTGCACTGCTTAGATCCCAGCCAGGATGAGGACTGAGGCATCATTACAGATATCCCTGGGACATTGAGACGGGAAGTAACTAATTAGTATATGGGTTTGTCTTTGCAGTTCTTCAGCACCTGAGCAAAGTATGTCATCCCAAAGCACACCATCCATACGGTATATGGGAGCCAATCCCAGACAGTGACCACTCCCTTCTGGGAGTCTGAGCTTGCTCCACCCCAGGGAGGTGAGGACCTCCTTCTAAAGCTGTCCTTGTACAGGGCCTCTGTGGAGAGCAGTGTCCACTGGCAGCTCAACACTCCCAAGGCATCTGGGCTCCTGAGAAATCTCCCTCCTCCCTCCCATCCCCCTTCCTTCTTTTTCCTTTTTCTTCTTTTGGCAGTACTGGTGGGATCCAGGCCTCACACTTGCTAGGCAAGCATTCTGTCACTGAGCTGCACACCCCCAGCCTTAGATTTTATTCTTGACACTGCAAACAGGACACTCAGAATGACACTGTCATCAGAGTCCCATGGTGTTTCAGGATGAAAATTATGTTGGTCAGGCAAGGCAAATGAGTCTATTTAAACGTTAAGTTCTAAAGAAGTACTCCAACTGAGGGACTCAGAGAGAAGACCTGTGTCTGAGAACATGTTTTCTTTCTTTCTTTCTTCCTTTCTTTCTTTCATTCTTTCTTCCTTCCATCCTTCCTTCCTTCCTTTCTTCCTCTCTTTTATTTCCCAAACTCTTACTAGAAAAAGAAACTTTTTTTTTTTTAATTAGGCAAACTTTCAGGCTGGGAAGTGGCTAACATTACTGGCTACTTTAGCAGAGGACTGAATTTGATTCCCAGTATCCACACAGTGGCTCCCAACAGTCTGAAACTTCAGGCCTAAGGAATCTGACACCCTCTTCTGGCCTTTGCAGGCCACATGCAACCAAAACATCTATATGAATAATACAAAATTTTAAAAATTTCATTGATTAAACTTTTAAAAATACTCAGGCAAGACTGGAGTTCTCAATGCCAGGCTGCCTTTGTCCCCACCTGAGGCTGTACAGCACCTTCCCATCTGGCTGTACCCGCAGCATGACGTTGTCTGTGGTAGTATCGTGGATGAAGGAGCGTTTGGAGTGCACAAAGAACATGTCGGGAACCCAGATCTTCTTCACAAGCCGGCCATCAAATGTCATACTGAGATTATTAGTGCTCGGAAAAGACAGTCTCTCATCCTTCCAATAGTGCCTCAGGTAGAGGGTCATGGTGAAGTCCTGTAGCGGGGAGGCAGAGTAGAAAACAGATAGCCACACACTCGGGAGCCATTGGCAGTGGGAATGCAACTGAAGCCAGTGGGCTGAGCACTGCCTCCTGAGAAGGCAGAGGAACCCAAGAAGGGGCCTAGAGCAGACTGCCCATGAACTCTACCCACCCACGACATCTACCATCTCCATGACGGCTGCCCTGCTGACACCAGCCACTCAAGCTGAAAGTGCCAGAGTCAGAGGCGTGAGTACCTCAGCTGGGGAAGCCCAGTTCAGTCTCCAGGCCCTGAGCTGGGGTGACCTGGGCTGTGTTCATCACTGCTCCAGGAGAACGCTGTGGGGGGAGTGATGTAGGAGTGGTTTGCTCCAGAACACCATGCTTTTTGCTCGCTTCCTTGTCTCACTGTCTCCTTCTGTCTTAGCATGTTTCTGGGAGTAGTTCCCAAGTATACACTGGGCTAGAATACTTCTTTCTGGCCTGCTTCTTGGAGGTTCCAAGCCAAGGCAGACATTCAAAAAGTCCCCTAACTTGTAGAATGCTCCTCACCCCCACCCATGCTACCTTTAAATTGTTTGCGATAGCGTTCACTGTGTATCCCAGACTGGTAAGGGGCTTCCTCTATAGAAGACCAGGCTGATCTAAAACCCAAGATTATCCTTCTTCCATCCCTTGGGTGTTGAGTTGAAGACATGTACCACCATGCCTAGCAGGCAGCACTTTTTTAAATTGGATCCCACTGAAAAGCAAAAAGGTTTCCAGAGCAACATAGGCTGCAGAAATACGAGGACCTACATCTCACAGAGTGCCCATGTCTGCGGATACAGACCAAGTTTGTCACCTGAGTCTGTCTCAAACCAGCTGGGAACAATGGACAAATGACAAGATGTCTGTGAGTCATCTATAAAGTAAGTGTGACAGTTCCCATCTACCAAGGAGTTATGAGGGAATTTGGTGGTGTAGAGCTGCTACCCAGACAGATCCATATAAGCCCCCATTGTCTGGAGTCCTGGTCAGAGAAGCACTCACCATGTCAACTTCTGAGATGCTATCCAAACTCTCCACTTGCACATCCACACCCACCGGAATGGCCGGGCCTGGGAACAGCATGACAGGGGTGCTCATTTATTCTCTCTGTTCTTCCCTCCCTCTCCCCCTCCCTCTCTCCCTCCTTTTCTTTCCTTTTCTTTTCTTTTTTTTTTTTCTCTGACAGAGCCTTGCTATGTAGCCCAGGCTGATCTCAAACTCTCAATCCTCCTGCCTCAGCTTCCAAAGTGCTAGGGTTATAGGAGTAAGCCATCACATCCAGCTGAACATTCTTTTTGCTTGAACATCTATTATAGAAGAGGCATGCAAAGGTGTGTCAGTCATGTCAGAGTCAAACATTTGAAGGCTTTGTCATACTCACCTACAGTCAAATAAGAAGTAGAAGAACAGGTTCATGGGTTGGCTCCTTGGAATATCCCCTACCCCACCCCACCCCCAAGTAATAAAAGTGTTTTGTGGAGTAATGTGGTTAGATTATTTTATTTTATGTGTACAAGTGTTTTGCCTACAGGTATGCCTAGTGTTCATGGAAGGCAGAAGAGAGCATCAGATCCCCAAGGGCTATTATGAGCTTCCCTGAGGCTCTAGGAATCCAACCTGGGTCCTCTAGAAGAATAGCCAGTGTTCTTAACCACTGAGTCATCTTTCCAGCCCCAGAATGATGAAGTTAGCACAGACCATTCCTTTCTGGCTCGACATGTTCTTCTGAAGCAGTGCTAAAAACCTAGGCTGAGTCAGGTCTGGTAAGGAACAGCCAACATGCTCCTTAGCATGAATTTTCTCCATTTGCACCCCTTTCCTTTCGGAAGCCTTTGGCACCCATTAAACATGAGATTTCTTGATTTCTTGATGATGGCACCAGAACCGGTCATATTCAGATCATTTGTCCTGCCCACAGATCTGTATCTTTGTCACAGCTTCCAGCAAAGATACATCATGCCAAAATGGTCTTAAATCAAAACATTACATTTTTGTTATTTTTTTCCAGGCCATTAAAATTTAGTATTGACAGAGAATAAGAGCTTGCTTGTGGGTTATGTATAGGGCGTTCCAGTTACCATGACACAAAGAAGTGAAATTGGATCCAATAGCTACCTATGACAAAGGGAATAATGTCCTTTCTAGAGCTTAGGGGCTTGGTTTGTTTCAGGGGGTGGAGGCAAACATGACTAAAGAAAATGAAAGGCATGAAAATTATTTCTAGGGGCTGGAGGGATGACTCAGTCAATAAGCACCCTGGCCTTGCCAGCATGAAGACCTGAGTTTGAATCCTGGAACCCATATAGAGATACTAGAAGTGGTGTTATGTGCTAGGGAAGCAGAGGCAGAAGGATGCCTGGGGCCCATGGGCCACCACTTTAGCCTAATTTGTGTGCTCTAGCACAGTAAGAGACAGTCTCAAAGGAGGTAGACAGTATTCCTGCAGATGGCACATAAGGTGTCCTCTGATCTCTGCATACATCTACACCCATGCCTAGTACATGTCTTTGCATACATATGAACACATACACACAGGTATAAAATATATTTTTCTCCAGAAAGAAGCCAAAGGTAGGTCAGTGAGATGGTTCAGCAGGTGGGGATGCTCACTGCCAAACCCGAAGACCCTTGAGTTGGATTCCCAGAACCCACATGGTGGAAAAAACCAACTTCCAAAAGTGGTCCTTGGTCTCCACATACTTTCTCATGTACACACAGCACCATCCCAAAAATACATAAATGTTAAACACACACACACACACACACACACACACACACACACACACACACACGGGGGGGGGGGGGCACACAGACAGAGAGAAAGGGGAGAGAGAGAAACCTCTTTGACAGAGAGCTGAAACCTGGCAGCTGCTAAGCCTCTGTTTGGGCTCTTCAGTGAACCCTCACTTTCTCAAGCTATTTTCATTTCATTAAACCCAGCATACAGGACTCTAATGTGTAAGGAGCTCATCCACCAACTCCCGTCGAGAACAAATGCAGCTAAGGTTGCTGCATGGGATTTCAGAGTATCCTCAGGAGGCAGCCCTGGCTGCATCTGTCTTCCTGGGGCAGCCTCTGTCTCACTGACCTTCAGTGAGACTTCTCACAAGCCCTGCCCTGGGACACCAGGTTGGCCTTTCCTTGCTACACGACAGCAGGTACTTGGCAAATGCCCGGCAGAGCCAGGGGCATGAAGGCCAGATGTTCAGAAGGTGCTCAGCCCACCAAGCACAGCCAAGGCAGATACAATAAACAGATGTGGGTGCAGAAAATGAACCCCAGTAAAGAAGAGGAGTCCCCTCCCACCCTGTCCGTCTCATACCTCCGAAGCCAGGCCGCATGCTGAAGTCATGATCATCTATCCTGAGTAGCTGCTCTGACTTGGTGAGAGGCGACTTGGTTATATCGGAGCTTCGTTTCAGAATTGGGCTGCCACAGAAGGAAAAGCCGGTTAATCAAACACGCTAACCAAGGCTGGTCAGAGATGTAGCTGTCTATGTTCTTCCTGCTCTTGGCAGGGTTCATAGGATGTGCTTTCTCTTCTAAGAGCCACTCAGCTGCACCTCTTCCATTTCCAACTTCTAGATAAAGAAACTGACCTGGAAATTCTAAGACTGCAGCCCCCAGCCACGCGGAGGGGTTTCTCAAGTAGCAGGGCCAGTCCCTCCCTGCCTCTGACACCCTGATCAGCATCTGGAAGCTGGTATGTTTTAATTAAAGGGGCTGGAAACTGGTGTTTTTTAAAGTTTTCCAAGGGTGGGGTGTAGCTCGGTGGTGGAATGTTTGTAAACATAGGCACAGCTCTGGGTTCCATCGCTAGAACTGGAGGGAAAAGGAACTCCACGATTTCATGCATAACCAAACTGACAACTGCCAGAGCTGGTCTAAATGCTAAGATAAGATTCCTTCAAAATGCCTGAGACACTGAGAGAAGGCTGACTGAGGAGAAGCAAGTGTGTATGGCTGAGCCTCACAGCCATGGCTTTCTGTGGAGAGTAAACACCCTCACATTGTGTTTCCAGGGAAAGCACTTCTGGACTCTCTGGACTCTCTCTCTCTCTCTCTCTCTCTCTCTCTCTCTCTCTCTCTCTCTCTCTCTCTCTGTCCTCTCTCTTATGCAGGTAGGGGCTGGAGAGATGGCTCAGCAGTAGAGAGCACTGGCTGCTCTAGCATTGGACCCAGGTTTTATTCCCAGCACCCACATGATACTCATAAACCTCCAGTCCAGAGGATATGACTCCCTCTTCTGACCTCCACAGGCATTACATGCACATGGTGAAAAGACATAAATTGAGATAAAACACTCATACACATAAAATATTTTTTAAAAATTAAACATGCAGATCATTCTACTGACCTACCCCTCACCCACAGAAACTTGTCTTATTGCTTCCTTGACTAGACAGTCTGTTACAGAAATATGGAAGTACAAATATGTAGTATTATTTTCTCTCCTTATATAGTAAATGTTACATGAATGCTTCTTTATCTTTCTTCTTCCTCATTTAGCAATATGCCTTGGATTTTCCCACATGGGAGTCCCACCACATAGTGCCTCATCTGATGAGTCCTCTTACGGACACACAAGTTGCTCTGGGTCTTCTGTCCCTACAGTAAGTGACACTTGAAATTCTTCACTACCCAACAGTGTAATCCTAGGATTCCTCATAAGCAACTAGCCCCCTTTCAGGTGAGGGCTCAGAGAGAACTTCCCATATGCCCTGCCCCCAGTACAGACAGATACTCGCTCGATAGGGGCTCGTTGGACCCAGATTTCTGGCGCATAGGCCCTTGTGTATCTGATGCAGGGGTCCGGGCTGAAGCTGCCGAAAGACAGGAGGTGATGCCTGAGAGCCCCACTCAGCGCACTACCCTGCCCATGGTGTCACGTGCGCCACACTCCTGTCTGCTGCCTTCCAGAGGCTTGCTCTGCCCAGCTCTCAGCCCTCACGATCTTCTTCCTTGAAAGAAAACTAGGGTTCAGGAGAAAACAAAAGGTCAGCCTCAGGAGACTAGGGCTCTTTCCCCCCTTCAGAACCTGGCTGATTTAGACTATTAAGCGACCAGGTTATTATCTGAAAGTAGTTTTCCTGATGGGAGGAAGGCTTTGAGTGGACCATGGGGTGTGCAGGTTGAACGGGACACGTGGGGAACTAGCACACTTGCTGAGCAGAGGAAGGAGCTGGGCATGGACAGGAAAGCCAGCTCTTCCTGATCCTGTCAGTGAGGGCTGAAAATTGCTGTATTTGTATGCTGGCTGTTACCATGGGCCATACCTGCCTTGCTTGTGGACATCGTCATGTGCGCCTCGTCTCTGCCTCTGAGGTCTGCTGTGGAAACAAAAAATAAAGATGGTGCAGAGACTGTCCTGTGACTCGGATCATCAAAGCACCCTGGCCTCTGTGCATACTTCAAATCTAGCCAGAATCAAATGGGGGTGGGGAGGGAAGAAGGCTCACAACATTAATCTGGTCTGATGAGCATTTTCCAAGTACTCAGGGAACGAGGATTAATTATTTAGAAGGCCTGATTTGCAGAGATCTGACTTAACCACACCCCCACCGGATGCATGTGCATATACACACATACACATCCATGCACACTCACACAGTATTATGCACACTCATGCACACATATACACACTCATACACACGTGCACATTCATGGGCATTCAAGCACTCACACACACATTCACATTCATCTGTATTTATATACACACTCATGCACATTCACACGCACATTCATGCACACTCTCATGTACGTACACACATGTACTCACACAGATGCATGCATAACACATACATATTTTTGTGTATGTACACACACTCACACATATTCATACATGTACTCATGTGCACCCAGGCTTGAAATTGAGCCTGAAAAGTTAATTGCACACTCTGACTTGGATCCACTATGAAACTGTGGCAAACAATGCTGCCAGTGAGTTGTGCCCTTCTGGGTGTACTGGCTGGGGATTCGGCCGAGTGGGTACAGCAGAGAGTGAAGGAGAGAGTGAGGCTGGAGCATCTATTGCCATTTGTTCCTTCTTCAGAGCTGGTAACTAGCTATGCCCTGTGCGTCTGCCTCAGGCAGACAGGCATCCCGCTCTTCCTCATTCTAGGCGGCATCAACATGCCTGCTTTCCTGCCTTGAAACTGTTTGTGAGGAGTGCTTGTTTTTGATTGGTTAAGTCCTCTGCATGTAATGCTGTTTCCTGAGAGAACTGCACTGGTGATGGTGACAGGGACAGGGATTATGTCGTCCGTAGTCCAGTGAAACAGGCCAGGCATGAGCTTGCCAGGTGAGGGCTGAGATTTGGGAAAGACAGGTGCGGGTCACCAAGGACAGAGTTCTGTGCATGTCCAGGCCAGGGCAGGACTGGACGCAGGGGACTTTTAGCACTGGGTAGCTGGATGAGAAGGGACTAAGTGCCCTGTACACGAAAAAGAGCACATGAGAGAGACAGAAGAGACTGAGTAAGGGGTTTGGAATAGAAAACCAGTTGTCCTGTTTGGACTTTATCGCCAGGCCAGCCTGCAATACAACCATTCACCAACCAAAAGGACTGTCAAGCTCCGAGGTACCCTTCAGTTACCTCTGCAAAGGTTAGACTCTAGCCTTGAGGGCACAGAGAAAGGTCCCTAATGTCTTCCCCATTATCCTTAATTCTTGAAAGAAAAAGTTCTTGTTAATATACCATATACACACTGGAAAGTAGAGCAAACATAAAGCAGATAAAAGTAATTCAGAAAATGACCCTGGCATTTCTCCCACATTCTTAACAGAGCCCAGGGAAAGCAAGTAGCCGGCAACTTGCTTGGGTTATGGTATAACTAGCATGGAATGTTTTCAGCACCTTTTTACCAGCTACTGACATGGTAGCTGTTAAAATTAAGCACAACATCAAACAAGTAGTATGAACAACTGGCACAGCTTGAGTAATCACCGTTGGCCAGGCACTGTTCATATTCATTTTATGATTAATTCGTCACTTCTCACAGGGCTTGTAGGCAGACCTCCCCATTAGCTCCAATTCACATGTGAGAAAACCAAGACAAATACTGGGAGTTCAAGCAGCTTTTAAAGCCACAGAGCTAGGCACCGGACTGGTGATCTGGATTCAGGGCTTAGAAGAAGTGCTGGCCACATCATCTTGCTGGATGATCTCCCTCTCTCTGCTGGACTTCGGGTTGGTCTCCACACCTATTTATTTACTGTTTGAGCCAAGGTCTCTCACTGAACCTCATGGATTTGGCTGCCATGTCCAGCCTTTTATATGGGGGCTGGAACTCTTTAACCAAGCCACCTCCTAGGCTCAGGAATTAGGAGTGGGAGATGTGTGTCACTTCTCTCCTGGCGAAGTTAGCAGGGGCCTTGTGAAAACTTGGAGCTCAGCAAGTGTTTACTGAATGGCCCCGACCCCACCCCCACCCCTGGAAGGATATGAAGAAAGCACAGACATCCCCAAGATGATGCTGGGCTGACAACTGAGGTGTATTTGGACTGAGCAGGGCACGGTGGTTTGTCTTCATTTTGATGGAGAGAATTTCTAGCCAGTGGGATGCCTGGGTCTGCTTGTTGTTATTCTTTAGCAGTTTGTGTAGAGGGTTTTCCTTCAACAGCTCTCTACTTCCCCGGCGGGGTCTGAGAAGACAGAAGGCTGCTTGCTAGAAGGTCCATTCAGTCAACAGCACAGCACTTGTACAATTTGGTTCACTTTGCTGGCCATATTGCCTCAGAGAGAAGAGCAAACTTCATTTTGACAAGGCAACAAGGACTGGCCAACAAAAGCAATTTAGCCAAGGAAAGGAACCTTTTATGTAGCCCACATAGCCCAGAACCTTCCAATGCTCCCTGCGATTCTCCCTTCCCTTCCCGCTCTCTCCTGTATGTCTAACACTCACTCCCTGGTTAGAAGCATGTTTACTCAAAAGGGAGACCTTTTCTCATGTGCATAAGGCCCAGAACAGGACAACCAGGGTCACAGCCCCCGGCTAGATCTGGCTAAACCTCTACCTTAAAATCCTGTTCCCTGTTCTGCGCTCTCCATCCCCACCACCTTACAAACTGATTCCCGTGGTTCTTGACAAGAGCCAGCACACTGTCCTTCCTGTGCCTTGCCTTTCTGCTCTAGCCATCATACCAACACTGTAGAGTGTAAAGCAGACACGCAGTTTCCCACTGAAAACCTTTCTTTCACCTTCCATATCTAATTCTAGTCAGACTTTCGTCGGGACCATCGGCTCCCCAGTAATGACACCAAGACTTATTACTAATTTTGAAAGCATGGCTGAGGCTTGTTTCTAACGAGCTCTTAGAACCTAAATTAACACATTTCTTTTAATCTATGCTCTTTTACATGGGTCAGTTACTTTACTCTGTAAAGCCCATGCTGCTTGCTCTGCATCCTGGCGTCTCCTTCTTCTTCCCCTGTGCCTGGAAATCCTGCCTAGCTATTGGCCATTCAGCTTTTAAATTAAGCCAATCAGAGTGACACATCTTCACAGTGTACAAAAAGATTATTCCCCAATATCAAATCCATAGAAATTGGGCAATAGGCTCATCGTAACCTACTGCCCATTGCCAGCTCACTGAATTTCACAATAGTTGAAGTACATATGCATTGGTCCACACAATCCTGCCAACAACCAGGAAGTGACTGTGCTGGTTGGTGTTTTGTAAACTTGATGCAAACCTAGAGTCATCTGGGAAGAGGAACCTCAACTGAGAAATGACTCCATCAGACTGCCTGAAGGAAGTCTGTCGGGCATTTTGTAGGTCAATGATTGATATGGGAGGGCCCAGCTCAATGTGGGGGTGATGTCACCTCTTTGCAGGCTATATAAGGGAGCAAGTTCAGGGACTGGAGGGTAGCTCAGCAGTTAAGAGTTCTTGTTACTCTTCTAGAGGACCCAGGCTCAATTCCCAGTACCTACATGGTAGCTCACAAGCATCTGGATCCTCTGGCCTCAGAAAGCCTCAGGCACACATGTGGCACTCAAAATGCATGCAGGCAAAACACTCATATACATGAAATAATAAAACATTTTTTAAAAACAAAATCTGAGCAAGCTATGAGGAAAAGCCAGTGAGCAGCATCCTCTGTGGTCTCTGCTTCAATTCCTGCCTTGAGTTCCTGCCTGGATTTCCCTGCATAATGGACTGTAAGAAGGAAGGAACATTTCTCCAAGTTTCTTTTGGCCATGGTCTTTATCACAGCAATAGAAAGCAAAGCAAAACAGTGACAGATGATCCATTCTGCTGTACAGAAGAAAGAGACTGGAAGCTGCCAAAGGACTCTTCTGAGGTCTTTGGTAACTTTGTAGCTGTGCCAAGTCTCAAATCCATCCCTTCTTATGGTTCGGAGACTCTCGTCCTACCATTGCTCCATCCATTTGGAAGTCAGATTGATTCCTATTGCCTACGATGGTTACATCTGCATCATGTTACACAGGGGCTCCTCAAGGACAGCCAAAGCTCTATCATGCCTTGTAGGCATGTAGACTCTGGCCAAGACAATAACCTTGCTCCCTCTGAAGGAAGGAGCAGGTGCTGAGACAGTTGTTTTATGCATGTGGCTTGAGAAGCTTCTGTGAGAAGGTGACAGTTACAGAGGGATAACGTGGATGAGAGGACATATGGTGCTCAGGCAGAGGCACAGAGTGGACAAAGGCCGTGAGGTGGGTGAGATTCACTATTCTCAAGAACAGCCGGTGGCCAGCCTGGTCATACTGGGGCAGAACGCAGAGCAGGGGCCAAACATCAGGGTGTGCTCTGTGGCTCTCTCAGGTCAATCAAGCACCTACTCTGGCCCCTAGTTTGGGGTATCTGGCTACCAAGGTAGCAACTGTGCATTGTTCTTGGGTGTAGTTGCTGGAAGCAGTGAGCTGGGGCAACAGGAACCAGACCTTGAACCCCATTTTTTCTGACCTGGCAAGTATCTGCTTAGCTGTGAAGGGACTGGAGACATGCACGATGTGGAATCTGTAATCCCAATACTCAGGGGGTCAAGGCAGGAGGGTTGGTGTGAACTCAGCCTGAACTGCATAGCAAGAGCTTGTCTCAGCCCTTCCCCAGCACACAAATAAAAGAAGTAATGAATTGGGATTCAGGATGTCACTGAGGGTGTTGGTGTCTGTTGTAGGAGCATCGCTGGAGGTGAGAGGCGCTTGAAGGTCTCTTTCTGCTGCCTGAGGCCATGTTGGATGGGTCAGTCACCTGCCAGAGCCCACCAGAACCTGCCAGCTGCCCCATGTACTCCATTCATATACTGTCAGGGTGCTCATGGGATGTGGTGTGTCCTGGAGCTTATGCATGTTCCATATGT